ATGTATGTATGTATGTATGTGGATCTTTGGTTATTCGGGTTTTCTCCTGCGTAAGATTGGAAGTATCTAGGCAACGTTTCGATGAAGTCTCATTCATCATCTTCAGGCTTGTGTCTTCAGCTCTGTGCTTCTCAGAGTGATGTGAGCTTGCAGCTGCTTCTTCCTTTTAACTGCTAGTGGTTTAAAAGGAAGTGGTTTAAAAGCTAGTGGTTTAAAAGGAAGAAGCAGCTGCAAGCTCACATCACTCTGAGAAGCATAGAGCCAAAGACACAAGCCTGAAGATGATGAATGAGACTTCATCGAAACGTTGCCGAGATACTTCCAATCTTACGCGGGAGAAACCCCAAATAACCAAAGATCCATATATATATATATATATACACACACACACACACACACACACACACACACACACGCGTACATACATACATACATATACATACATACATACATACACATACATACACACACACACACACACACACACACACACACACACACAAGTTCTTAGTTAGTGAGAACAGATGTTGTTTGACCAAAACATATTAACTTGTCTCTATACTCAAACATTGAATTTGAAGTAATCAGGTCATCTTATATAATCACTGTAATCCATGTTTGTAGAAAACGCTTTAAAGGGAAAACATGAAATCTTCTGTAATAGTCCATACATCAGATAAGTTACTGAAAAATCCACTTCTAAATAACATTAGAATATCAAAAATTAATTAAACGTCACCAGAATTACCAAATTGTGGGAGATTTCTGCAATTGGGTTTTAGAAATTTGTAAAAATTATTTTTAATAAGTTCATAAATGATGGTCAAGTTTTATAAACACTAAAATGTGTCCGCTGTATGTTGATGGATGTAGGCATAGAGCTTAACAGGTTTGTAAGTCTCTTTTCTCTATTTCTATCAATAGGACGCCAGTTAATCATGAGGAAGAATAACATGTTATTTCCACAAATTCAGGGTACATTATCTAGAGCTGTCAAGACCATACAGAAACGAAGAGGTTTTTTTTCCTCCCTGGAGTATATTTATAACTACAGAGAACAAGTGACTCATTTAAGAACATTTAATAGTGTAGTCTTTAGAATGCCTTTTCTATTAAGTAACTATTTGATGGAAACTGAAACATTTTAAACTTCCTGAGTATTTCTTTAGAATGTTATTGAGTATTCACTGGTGTCTCTTTCTTAAGGCAAAGGCACAAGTTAAAAAGTACAAAGTAATTTTGAAAATGAAGTGAATTTTTTTCTCTGTCAAAACAAACAGGCAAGAAAAAATATATTATCAAAAGGCTATATAAAGTTTGTTTTATGAATTACCCAAATAAGAACTAAAAGCAAAGCTTAAGGTTTAAATTTTAAGTGTAAGAGACCACCTGTCTGATTTCGATGTATATAAATCACTGGGACCTGATGGATTGATTATATCCCAGAGTTCTGAAGGAGGTGGCAGATGCTATCTCAAAGCCATTGTACCATATCTTTTTTAAAAAATCCTGGAGCACTGGGGAACTACCAGAGAATTGGAAAAGAGCTGATGTGGTTCCCATCTTCAAAAGAGCGGGGAATAGACTCAGGAAACTACAGATCAATCAGCCAACCATTAATACCTGGGAACGTGTTAGAAAAAAAATAACAAATAAAGTTATAACTAGTACCCAGCATGGCTTTGTTAAAAACAGATCATGTATTTCATTTTTTGACAAAGTGACTATATTAGTAGACCAACAACATGGTACACTTAAACTTCAGCAAGGCATTCAACAAAGTAAACCACAACCTACTTCTTAGTAAACCAAAAAAATGTGGGATAGACAACATCACCACTAGATGGATTTATAACTGGTTGACAATACTCAATGAGTAATCCTTGATAGTACTATATCTACATAGAGGGAAATAAGAAGTGGGGTACCACAAGGTTCCATCTTAAACCCAGTATTCTTCAATATCTTCATGACTTATGAGGGAATAGAAGCAACAAAATAATAGAACCCCAGGAAGAGAAAGTGGAAAAAAAGAAGCAAGAAGAAACAGCTTTGGATTATTTGGATTATTTGGTGATCTTTGGATTTTTTGGTTATTGCATTGAAATGATTAAAATCAATTGGGTGGTTGTTTAAAAGTGTCTAAAATGGCACCACTTTTAGAAGAACTGAAAATGGAACTTAAAAGGTATAAAG